GACTTTTTCGGCGCTCTCGGAGTGTAATTGATCAGTCTGGCAGACTGTCGTACCAATTCGTGGGCCATCTGTGCGCCAACGATGCTACTTTGGGGGCCACGAGGGCGCCCCTGGGGGCCCCTGAGCCATGTGTACCCGTGGCCCTGGTCCCGGGCCCGCCAGCGGCCTACTCCGACACACACACACACACATCATATATACATATATAGATATATAGTATATGTTTACATCGAGATACATGCATACAAAACTGCATGCATACATACGTACATGCATGCAATCATGCATAACGACATGCATACATATATATATATATATATATACATACATACATACATACATACATACATACATACATACGTACATGCATGCATGCATGCATGCATACATGCATATACATGCATACATTCATGCATGCATACATACATACATGAATACGTGCATACATACATCTATACACACATACATACATACATACATACATGATTCACACATACATACATACATACATACATACATACATACATACATATGTACAAACATACCTACATACATGCATACATGCATACATACATACATAAATACATACATGCATGCATGCATACATACATACATGCATAGACACACACACATACACACCACATGCATACATACAGTCATACATACATGCATACATATATATATATATATATATATATATGCGTACATACATGCATGCATGCACACATACATACAGGCATGCACACATGCATACGTACCCATCTACCTACGTACACTCATGTCTGCATACATGCATGCATGCATGCATCCATCCACACATCCATTCATACATACATACATACATCCACCCATACATACATACATACATGCGTGCATGCCTGCATGCATGTATGCATGTACACATGCGTACCTGCATACCTACCTGGCTACCTACATACATGCATGCATGACTACATATATACAACCATACAAACATAAGTGCATACATACACACATACATACATACATACAGACATACACATATACACATATATACACATACATACATACATACATGCCTCCATACATACGTGCATACATACATACATACATACATACATGCATACATACATACACACATACATCCATACAGACATATGTGCATACATACATCCATACATACATACATACATACATGCACACATACACATGCACACATACACACATATATATATATATATGCACACACATATGCCTATACACATACATGTACACGGACACGTACATCTACATACATACATACATACATACATACATACATACATACATACATACATAAATACATACATACATACAAACATACGAGAGAGCGTGATCCACCGCCGCTTTACTGTGGAAAATTGCCAACCTTTTCCTCCGGAACCCGGGGGTCTCCCCCCCCCCCCCTCCGAAAATCCCCCCCCCCCTGCTGGAACCCCTCCCCCCCCCCCCCCCCCCGCTCCCGGCAAAACCCCCCCCCTCCCCTAACCCCTCCCCCCCCCCCCCTCCCCCTCGAAAACCGGGGGGGGTCACTACCGGTTCGAACCCCTCCCCCCCCCCCCCCCCCCCGATCCGGAAAACCGGGGGGGGTCACTAGGGTTGGACCCCCCCCCCCCCCAAAACCGGGGGGTCACCGTTTCGACCCCCCCCCGCACCGCCAGCAAACGACTCCCGGTCCCTACCACCGCTCGCATCACATCCCCCACTGTTGTTCCCAGCACCACTGTCCTCACCACCACTGCCCCACTGGTTCCACCACCGTCCCTATTGTCCCCACCAGTGCCCCCACCACTGTCGCACTGTCCCCACTGTTCCCACAACTGTTCCCACCACGGTTCCACTCTCCCCACTGTCTCCACGGACCCAACCACTGCCTATCCCCACTGTCCCCACTGTCCCACTGACTCCTCCGCTGTCCCACTGAGCTGTCCCACTGTTCCCACCACTGTCCCCACTGTCCCCACTGTCCCCACCACTGTTCCCACTGTACCTCTGTCCCATTGTCCCACCGCCGTCCTCGCCGACGCCTTTACCAGTGTCCCCACCACCATTGTACCCTCCACTGTCCCAGTGTTTCCACCTCATTCCCACTGTCCCCACACCACTGTCCCCACCACCACCGTTCCCACCACTGTCCACTGTCCCCCCTGTTCCCACCATTGTCCCCACCACTGTCCCCACCACTACCGTCCCCACCGCTGTCCCACTGTCCCCCCACTGTCCCCACCACTGTCCCGCTGTCCCCTCACCACTGTCCCCACCAACACCGTCCCCACCACTGTCCGCACCCCCACTCGGTTTTCGAGGGGGGGGGGGGGTTCGAACCGGTAGTGACCCCCCCCCCTTTTCATGATGAGCTGGGGGGGGGGAGGGGTTCGAACCGGTAGTGACCCCCCCCGGTTTTCCGGAGGGGGAGGGGGGGGGGAGGGGTTCGAACAGGTAGTGACCCCCCCCGGTTTTCCGCCAGGAGCGGTAGAACACGCTCTTTCAAACATACACACACATACATACATACATACATACATACATACATACATACAGACAGACAGACAGACAGACAGACAGACAGACAGACAGACAGACAGACATACATACATACACATACATTCATGCATACATCCACAAATACTTCCATGCATATATACATATATACCTACATACATACATACATACATACATACACACACATACATACATACATACATACATACATACATACATACATACATACATACATACATACATACATACATACACACACATACACACATACATACATACATACATACATACATACATACATACACACACATACATACATACATACATACATACATACATACAAGCATACATACATACATACATACATACAGACATACACACATACATACATACATACATACATACATACATACATACATACATACATACATACATACATACATACATACATACATACATAGACACATACACACATACACACATACATACGTACATGCATGCATGCATGCATACACATACACATAGAGTCATACACCTACTTCTCTTTCTATTCCCCGCCTCAGACCTCCGCTCATCCTTATGATCCTTCTCATTCCTCTTTCCCTCCTACGCCCCTACTCCCTCATCCCTCCTCCCTCCTCCTCCTCCTCCTCCTCCTCATCCTCCCCCTCGCCATCCTCCTCCGCCTCCTGCTCGTACTCCTCCTCGTCCTGAGCTCGTCCTCCAAGACTCCTCCTCCTGTCGGCATCAATCAACAAATCTCCATGCCCATCGAGGAATCATTTTTCCCGCTGTCTGAAAGATCTACCTTGCTGGGAGGGGATAGGTGCCGCTGGGCGTTGGGGTCTACGGCACCGATCCCCTCCTGGAGAAGCAGCCTGGTGGCGGTAAGCAGCCCTGGCGTTCTGGTAATGGGGATGGGCATGCCGATACTGATCCTGGGTTCCTCCACCTCCCTCCGTTCTCCTGTGTGCAGCTACCAAATCCGCAGACCTTGTGTCGGCGTGTGTGAGGGGTTGTTCGTCCTCGTCGTCGTCGTTGCAGTGCTCTAGCGGCCGTGAGGGAAATCGACCCACGTCGTAACCACGTCAAAGGAAAGCCCCTTCCCTTTGATCCCTCCCCCGTCGGGGGGGGGGGGGTCCCGGGGGGGGGTGGGGGGGAGGGGGGGGGCAAGCCAGGTGCGCGCGCGTCATATCTGACGTCCTACCCCTCCCTCCCATCCCTAACCATGGCGCTGATTTTCTCGATCCGCGGACTAGTGGGTGGTGGTGCGCGTGCGTGCGTGCGTGCGTGGGTGCGTGGTTGTGGTGGTGGTGGTGGTGGTGGTGGTGCTGCTGCTGCTGGTGGTGGTGGTGGTGGTGGTGTTGCTGCTGGTGGTGCTGGTGGTGCTGGTGGTGGTGGTGGTGGTGGTGGGGGTGGGTGGTGGTGGTGGTGGTGGTGGGTGATGGTGATGGTGGTGGTGGTGGTGGTGATGGTGGTGATGTGTGTGATGGTGATGGGTGATGGTGATGGTGGGGTGGTGGTGGTGGTGGTGGTGGTGGTGGTGGTGGTGGTGGTGTGGGGGTGGTGGGTGTGGGTGTGGGTGTGGGTGTGGGTGTGGGTGTGGGTGTGGTGTGGGTGTGGGTGGGGTGTGGTGTGGTGTGGGTGTGGGTGGGGTGTGGGTGTGGGTGTGGTGTGGGTGTGGGTGGGTGGGGTGTGGGTGGGTGTGGTGTGGTGTGTGGGTGTGGTGGGTGTGGGGTGTGGTGTGTGGGTGTGGGTGTGGGTGTGGTGTGTGTGGGTGTGGGTGTGGGTGTGTGTGTGTGTGTGTGTGTGTGGTGGGTGTGTGTGGTGTGTGTGTGTGTGTGGGTGTGTGTGTGCGTGTGTGTGTGTGTTGTGTGTGTGCGTGTGCGCGTGTGCTGTGGCATGGCATGGCACGGGAAATGACGCCAGCGCTGCAGCGGGAGCACGAGTCGAAACGGGCGGAAGCGCGGAAATGAGGCCATCGCTGCAGCGGGAGCACGATTCGGAACGAGCGGAAGCACGGAAATGGGGCCAGCGCTGCAGCGGGAGCACGATTCGGAACGAACGGGGCCCGAAAATGAGGCCGGCGCCTCGGCGAGAGCAGCATTTTGGAAAAAAAACACAGGCGAAAACCCGTTTCCCGGGAATCCTGTGTAAAAAACACTACGCGGGGGGGGTCGGATATCTCCGGGACGCCATCAGGGGAAGTGGGAGAGTATTTTCATATCGTGTAATTGTAGAGGGTGGGGTGTGGGGGGGTCAGATATGACTCCGCCCCGGGGACCTCCTCCTCCTCCTGCTCCTCCTGCTCCTCCTGCTCCTCCTCCTCCTCCTCCTTCTCCTCCTCCTCCTCCTGTCCTCCTCCTCCTCCTGTCCTCCTCCTCCTCCTCCTCCTCCTCCTCCTCCTCCTCCTCCTCCTCCTCCTCCTCCTCCTCACCCTCGTTTTCATCTTCGTCGTCTTCAGGGTCAGCGGCGCCGGCCGTAAAACCTCCGCAATTTTGAACCACCGTGCGCACCCGCGGGCCGGGCCGGGCGTCCCCCCTGGAGGCACGGAGGGAGGACGGCCTGCGGCCTCGTTGCCCAGATGCAGCTCTCGCTCTCGTCTGCAGCACCACGGATAAGGGGCCGATCCTTTTCAGCACGGCGCTGCCGCTGCAGATGCCAGTAAAAGCTGTATCATCCTACCACTGGGGGGGGTCCATGTATGTCAAAAAACTGCAGCTCTCGCCAGCCGGCCCTCCGTGCCCGCTCGCAGGGCTGGGGCCGCCAGCGGCAGCGCCGAGGCAGCAGGAGTCGGCCGCCGCGGCCGCGTAGCCCACGCCCGGCAGGTTCTTGGAGGCGCGGTCGGCCGAGTTCCTCTCCGAGGGGACCCAGCGCCAGAAGAATGCAGCGCCGCTAGCCAGCGAAAGGGACGCCAGCTGCCGGCACGCGCGGCCCATCTCCCGCCGCGACGAACGCCCCTTGGTGGCGGCCAGGATGGCTCCCAAACAGTCGCCCAAGCAGAGATGGCATCGGTTGAATGATGAGACACGTCGAAGAACATGACGAAAGGCCACGACCATACCGCGGGCCTCCAAGACAACCTGATGCTCTGAACGACTCCAGCGATGAGACACCACGGGGACCCAGCCTTTCGCCCAGACGTCGTATGGAATTTCGGGGAACTCCTCCTCCTCCTCGATGTTATTGACCATCTCCTCCTCCATGTGCACCCCCTTCGTCACGGACTCCTCGACGGGCTCTTCTACGGGCACCTCCAGGGGCCCCTTGATCGGGGCCTTCGGTCTCCCGGAGCAGTCGACGGTGAAGACCGACTCTGGGGTGAAGGGGTCGGCGGAGGTCGCTGACTTGAAGGCGTGGGGCCGATGCGACATCTCGGACTCCTCATGAGTACTGAATCTCCATCTCTCATTGTACTTGGAGAGCTCGCGAGCGACTGGGGCAGAGGACTTTTTCTGAGTGACTCCAACTCCCCACCGCGATGAATCAACCATCGTGAGCGTGCTGTCAAACGGGGCGCCAGCGTTCCTGAAACAGAACACGACGAGGCTGGCGCACCAGCGAAGCTCGCGGAGGCAAGAGGGCCACAGCCGCGCCGTTCGGCCTCCATACTGGGCAGAAAAGGCGCACAGCGAGTTGAGAGCGGCCAAAAGCTCTCGGCGAACCAGACCCCGCGAGAAGAAATGGGACACCACGCGCGAGATCGTCTTGCCCGAGGCATACCCCCTTCGACACAGCTCCAGGAAGGCCAGCCGCAACTTCCAGCGGAGCGCTGGGATCAGGCCGACGATCGGGAACTTCTCGTCGAACCAGCCTAGTGCCACGGCGCCAAAGCTGCTCTCGACTCCGTGGGTAGGGAGACCCGCTGCACGAAGGTTCGAGTCCACGGCCGACGCCGCGGCGACCGCCGTCTCCAAGTCCGTAGAGAGGCTGATCGCATTGTCCACGCAATCGGCGTGAATCGCACCCTCGGACACCAGCGGCACAGGTCGGCGGTCCACGAAGCGGTTCGCGAAGGAAAGCTGGGGCACCTTCAGAGCCACCCCCTCCAGCATCGTCTGGCAGATCCAGAGGCTGAAGGAACAGCCCATCGGGGGGCACCTGAAGCACGGGTACACCTTCTGAACTTCGGGGGCAGCAGCATCGTGTAGAACGCGTCCGCCAGGTCGACCTCCGCCACCGCGATGGGCTTGCCCCCGTCCACGTGGAGGCCGGCGAAGGTCGCACCCGACGCTAAGGCGACCTCGTCGGGGACCTGGAAATGCAGATACGCGCGCCTGCCGCCCAGGATGAGCCGCAGCTTACCCGACTTCTTGCAAACGAAGAAGACACCTACATTGCAACGCGCTCGAGGGCCGGCAGCAGCTGGACATGCAGCTTGGGGTTCCTCAGCGCCGGGTCGGCGTAGAGCTTCCGGGGGCCCTCAGACTCGATCCGAGCGCGATCCTCAGACTGGGGCAACATCACACCATGAAGCCGCTCGACTCTCTTTCGGCCAGCATCCCCCCCCCCCCCCCCAGCGCGCTAAGCGGCACGGGCATGAAACCCTCGTCTGGAAGCGAGAGGCTATTGATATTATCAAAGTCGAGCGGGGCGACTGTGGCGCTCTCGCCAGCGTAGTCGCTGAGAACTCGGAACTCCGCAAGGGCTCCTGAGCCAGTCAATCCCTCCAGGGGCGCGCCGAACCGTCGGGCTGCGTCTCGAACGTTGTCCAGGGCCTGCCGCTGGCCCGCAGTGAAGGACTGAGGATGGCTGACCGGGTGCCAGGGCTGGCCAAGGTACAGCTCGCTGAGGGCCCGAACGATCTCGCCTTCCATCGAGTTGGCGCGGCCCTTGCGGAGAACCCGACGCGCCACCGAACGTGAATAAGCGATGCCCGTGCGCCTCCGAAGTCGCCCGGGGCAGTTGACCGGGCCCAGGCAGTGGAAATAGATCACGCTGTCGTCCAGCACGATCGCCCAACGAATACAACTCACCAGCAAGCGGCGGGCCACCGCCGCTGGGCCCCCCTCCGAAAACACGTGCACCGCCGGGGGGAAGCGGCACGCGTGGCCGTGGACCCGTCATGATTGCAAGGCCCGCGGCTCCTCGCGGGCCTTGCGAACTTGCTCCAGCACCGAAGCGTCCATCCCCACCTCCTTCGCCACGTGCTCGAAGAGCAAGGGGCAGCTCATGCTCTCCCCTGGCCTCGAGGGAGACCCGCGAAGACGGTGCCATCGTTGATGAACCCGAAAGCTCAGCAGGACCTGGCGTCCACCGCCTTGGCCACGGCCTCGGACCTTCTTCTTGTCGCACCCCATCGTCGCCTCCGTCTCCGACAGGGGGCGCGCTGAGGTGAGGATCTCGATCAACGTCGTGCACGTACTCATACGTCTAGCACGTCTGAACATCTGATCTCCATCCGGCGGGTTCGGCACGTCGAGGCCGCCCCAGTAGGAGAGGGTGTAGATGGCCCGCATATATGCCTCGTAGGCGCCGCCTCCGTAGTCCCCGGTCGACAGCCCAGGGCCGAGCCTCCAGAACCTGAGGCGGTCGAACGGACCGCCCTGGCGTCGGTCTATGAACTGACAGCTCCAGAAGCACATGTGGGGGCCAGGGAAGTGCCAGTCCACGAACGACTCCTCTGTGAAGTAGGCCACAGCACCGCGCCACTGCGTCGAGAGCCTGCCGCTCAGAACCGCTGGGTTCGTGACGATGCTCCACATCAGCCTGGCGTCGGAAGAGGCCCCCCTCCCAGCGTAGGTCTGCGCGGGCTCGGAGATCGAGCGGACGGCCACCCACGTCCCGTCAGCCAGCAGCATCAAGCTGGCGGCCCCGCGGAGGTGCGAGCCAGCGGGCGGGATCACCACGGCCGCGGGGGCCCCGGCGCCTGCGGCGGCTAGCCCAGCGCCCGCGCCAGGCCCAATGCCTCCTGCGGGACCGAAGGTCAGCGGGACGGCGAACGGCCCGCCCGACACCGGCATCCGCAGGCGCAGGTGGTCGGCGGCCAGAGCGGCGGTGCCGTAGTCCAGCGCAGTTGGGTCGATCTGCTGCATCTGCGCCACCGTGCGGTTTCTTCCGAACCCGTACGAGTTGACGGCACCAACGCCTGGAGGGAGAGCAGCACGATCTGATGTGAACTTCACCGCAGCGATGTCTTTCCCCTGGCGTGAATAGCCTTCCTCATAGATGTCATTGACCACCGCATAGAGGAACACCATCCACTTAGTGACTCTCTCCAGTCGAGTCCACACCCGTCGCCCTGGATCAGACGCTGGTGCCACATTTGCTCTCCTTCGTAGTCCTCTGACACTCCCTGGAGCATCCCATGAGGTGCTGCTCCCACTGGACCATCGTTCTGCACGGTCAGCCCTGCGGCGGCAGCACATCAGCACGACACGGTTCCACGACAGAGTGCCGTAGGCCAGCGCCACGACCAGCAGGAGAGCCTCGTTCACCAGCACCACAGACCAGACGGAGGAGGGCTGTCTTGGTTCGCTGCTGCCCCCGCCGTTCGCCGAGGGCGTGGCGGGAGCGGGGGAGCCCCCGGGACACGTCGGACAGCCAGGACAAGGCGGGCACACACAGCTCGGTATGGCAGGGCAAGAAAAGGACGTGGACTGGTGGGCACCTCTGCAGGTTGCTGCCCCGGAGATAGGCGAACGCTCCCTGCCAAATGTATTGGGCGGCAAGGAGCCAGTAATCCATACGCACTGCCTTGGTGCAAATTCTTGAGCCCAAAAACCCACGGAAGCGATCTAACATCGACGGCCTGGGCTCAGACGGGATAAGGAAAGACATACACGCATAAGATATACATACATACATATATACATACACACATACATACATACATACATGCATGCATGCATGCATGCATACACATACACATACACATACACATTCACATAGAGACATACACTTACTTCTCTTTCTATTCCCCGCCTCAGACCTCCGCTCATCCTTCTACTCCTTCTCAATCCTCTTTCCCTCCTACGCCCCTACTCCCTCATCCCTCCTCCCTCCTCCTCCTCCTCCTCCTCCTCCTCCTCATCCTCCTCCTCCTCCTCCTCCTCGCCATCCTCCTCCTCCTCCGCCTGCTCGTACTCCTCCTCTTCCTGAGCTCGTCCTCCAAGACTCCTCCTCCTGTCGGCATCAATCAACAAATCTCCATGACCATCGAGGAATCATTTTTCCCGCTGTCTGAAAGATCTACCTTGCTGGGAGGAGATAGGTGCCGCTGGGCGTTGGGGTCTACGGCGCCGATCCCCTCCTGGAGAGGCAGCCTGGTGGCGGTAAGCAGCCCTGGCGTTCTGGTAATGGGGATGGGCATGCCGATACTGATCCTGGGCTCCTCCACCTCCCTCCGTTCTCCTGTGTGCAGCTACCAAATCCGCAGACCCTGTGTCGGCGTGTGTGAGGGGTTGTTCGTCCTCGTCGTCGTCGTCGCCGTTGCAGTGCTCTAGCGGCCTTAAGGGAAATCGACCCACGTCGTAACCACGTCAAAGGAAAGCCCCTTCCCTTTGATCCCTCCCCCGTCGGGGGGAGGGGGGGTCCCGGTTGGGTGGGGGGAGGGGGGGGAAGGGTGGGGGGGAGGGGGGGGGGTCAGATACGACTCCGCCCCGGGGACCTCCTCCTCCTCCTGCTCCTCCTGCTCCTCCTCCTCCTCCTCCTCCTCCTGTCCTCCTCCTCCTCCTGTCCTCCTCCTCCTGCCCCCCCCCATTGCTCCCCTCCTCTTGCTCCTCCTCTACCTCCTCCTCCTCCTCCTGCTCCTCCTTACCCTCGTTTTCATCTTCGTCGTCTTCAAGGTCGGCGGCGCCTGCCGTAAAACCTCCGCAATTTTGAACCACCGTGCGCACCCGCGGGCCGGGCCGGGCGTCCCCCCCGGAGGCACGGAGGGAGGACGGCCTGCGGCCTCGTTGCCAAGATGCAGCTCTCGCTCTCGTCTGCAGCACCACGGATGAGGGGCCGATCCTTTTCAACAGGGCGCTGCCGCTGCAGATGCCAGTAAAAGCTGTATCATCCTACCACTGGGGGGGCTCCATGTATGTCAAAAAACTGCATCATCCTACCCCTTGAAGGCTCCATTCAACAGATCCCAAAGCACAGTATTTCAGTTGTCTTTAGATTTCCACCGGACGTCTTTCCACGGGCGCTCCACTCAACGCGAGCACGGATGGTGAATCCTTCACAACAGGAGCCTCGCCAGAGAGGCAGGCCCACGAGGCGCTCGTCGTTCAAGTGTACCGCTTCCCGCAGCGACAATGATTATGCGTTGGGCTGTGGATGCCACGACAAGTAACACCCTAACAGTCGTATCATCGAATTAAACATGTGTTCAAAATATGTTCAAAACAGTTTTAACACATGTTCTAGCCATAGATCGTCCTCCACAAGCGTAGGGACGCCTGAGAAGGGGGTTGGGTCATCGTTGGCGTTTCCTCTCCATCTGACCTCAGGCAAGATGGCAGAATGACCAGAATGCAGGATACAGTAGGGAGGCGAGGAGGGTCGACAAATGAGGAGGATGATGAAGATGAGGGCGAAGGCCCGGGTGAAGATATTGGGGACGTGCTGTGCATGACTCTCCCATCCCATCCAACCTTCAAGGGAAGGGAAGATACAGTGATCGCACTACTACTGTGAGGATCGCCAACAAAGAGGAACGAAGCGACATTTCTGGCCATGGCGAGCCTCGGCCACGAACAGGTTCCCCCACCAGGACCTGAGAAACGGCATCAAGCACCCGAAGTGGTCCTCATTGCAACGTCTGAATTGCAGGATGAAGATGGGCAAGGCGAAGAGGAGACGAACCGCAGGCGAATGGAATCCTCATACTCCTTGTCCTTCGCCACGCTCCGCCCGCATACATCATCCTCACCCTCCCCATCCCGGCCAATTGCCTCTGGCACACACTCCTGGTCCCAGGACGCCCGGACATGAAGCGAAGGGATGACGAGCGCCTGCAAAATCGCACCTCTTCTCCCTGCCCCTGGCCCGTCTCGTCTGGTCAGGCTTTTGTCCTGGGTGAAGGCGTCCGTCGGTTAGCTTGGGCACCACCTTCCTACCCCAGTCAATGGGGTGGTGGACGAGGATCTGCAGGTCGTTGCTTACTTTCGCGCCCCTTCTCCCCCTGTGACGACGGCAAGATCCGCCATCATGTATCCGGGCACGGAGTGGCCGTGTCCTCAGGTCCTTTGCCTGATCCTCTAAGTTTGTGGATGCCATGACAATGGACACCCTAACAGTCCTATCATTGAATTAAACAGGCGTTGAAAATGTCGGAACATGTTCTAAACATGTTTCAACCATGTTTGTTTAACATGTTTAGAACATGTGTAACACATGTTTTAGACATCTGGCAATTAGTTGGCAACATCTTCCTCCCATCTGTCGCCCTCCACAACTCTAAGCCTCAATCATCGTCCTGAGGAGTCGTTGAGAGGCCTGGACCTCAAATTCCGAGATCTCCAGGGGCTTCCCGCGTTTCGCCTGGGGCTTCCCGCGTGCCCCATATGGGCTCCGGGAGGCGCGCAGTTCTTCCGCACCCGCGACGGCTCCAAGACGGGCCAAGAGGGCCCCGAAAGCCCCCAGGACGGTCCAACAGGGCCCCGAGTCGCCGAACGATCGCTCCGAGATGCTCGATATGGCCCGCAGACGACCCACGAGACCTCCACGATGTCCAAAGATGCCCCCTGTGAGGCAGCCGAAGACGGCCCCAAAAGGCCGAAACCATTATTCTCCGTCAGTATATGACGGATTTTGGCTTTCTCGCCTTTCGGCTTCACGACGCTCCCAGGCCGGCCCTGGAGGCCCTCAAGACCGCCTCAACGCAGCCCAAGAGGCCTCGGGCCCCAAAGCGACCCAACAGGGCCCCAAAATGGCCCAAGAGGCGCCCAAAAAGGCCTAAGAGGGCCCCAAGACGGCTCCGATAGGGGCCCAAGAGAAGGAACACGAACCGAAAATCCGAGCCTTCCGCCCCAAGAGGCCCCCAGGAGGCCCCAAGAGGCGCCCGTGAAGCCCCACGAGGCCCCCAAAGAGGCGGGAGGAGGGCATGTGATACGGTGGAAGAGGCAGGGAGTGGGGGAAGGGGGAGGTGTAGGGAGTTAACCCCACGGGAGGAGAAGTCAATGCAGTGAACTGCGCTCAGGAGTTGCGGCCCCGAAGTTACTGCGCTGATGCTGCAACCAGTGTGGTACAAGCTATGCGATGCAAACTACAAAGTGCAAGCCATGTGGTGTAAGCTGTGCGGTGCGATATACGTGGTGCAAGCTATATGACGTCACTACGCGGTGCAAACTATATGGCGCAAGACATGCGGTGACGCCGCAACGAAGTGGCAGCGGGCGGCAACGCGGCGAATCCTCGGCAGACCCCCCAAGTGGCAACGCCGCTGCAGTGATGCGTCAGCGGACGGCAGCGTGGCAAATCCTCGGCGGACCCCACAAGCGGCAGCGGCACGGCAAGAAGCGACAAGGGTTGGCAACGTGGCAAGTCCTCGGGGGACACCTCGAGCGGCAGCGAGGCGGCAACGGGCGTCAACGAGCGACGAAGCGGCGAGTCCTCGGCGAACCCTCCAAGTGGTACGGCAACGGGCGTCGACGTGGGGAATCATTGGGGGGCTCCCCCCAAGCGGCAACGCGGCGGCAACGAGGCGGCAACAGACGGCAACGTGGTGAATCCTCAACGGACTCCCCCAGCGGCAACGAGGCGGCCACGGGCGGCAGCGTGGCGAACCTCTGACGGACCCCACAGGCAGCCACGACGCGACAGCGTGGCGGCAGCGGGCGGCAACGCGGCGGGCCCCCTGCGGACCCCCAAGCCGCAACGAGGCGGCCACGGAACGGCAACGCGGCGGACCTTGGCGGCCCCTCCGGGCAGCAACGAGGCAGCAACGGGCAGCAGCGGGGCGACGCCTCGGCGGACCCCAGAGCGGCAACGAGGCGGCAACGGGCGGCAACAGACGGCTTCACGACGGCGAATCCTCGGCGGGTAGACCTGCTTAGAGACGCAAGAGCCCCACAAAGCCAGCACCGGAATGGAGTGGCAGAGACGACGGCGAGGGACGTGGATGATAGAAGAGGGAGGAGAGGGATAATGCAGGGACGGGGGGTGGGGCAGGTTGATTAGCCGTTTAGCTTTTAATTTTCGCTGGGCGCTCACAGGCTGGGAGGGAAGTGATAGAGAGCGGGGAGGAAAAACACTCCACGTTGTCCCTGGA